CAAAATGTATATTCATGTGATTAATTTTGTTTGTAGCATTTAATTGTTAATGTATTTGAGAAAAAACATTGCTACACAGACATGCACATTCCTTCCAATGAAAAGGTCATGGTCACTTAATAAAGGTTGAACGACTTTCACACAAATTAAAATATTTTTTAAAAACCTATAAAATATGTGACCATGAGCCATAAAGGATGTGCATCAATAAAAATAAGTGGGCGATAAAAGGTAATACATTGTAACAAATGTAGCCATTTATTGTATCAAGGTCATACTATCACTCATCCTGACCCAAATTTTTACTAGCAACAAGAAACCTAAGAGATACGTATTGGTACTCTCACATATCACATAACCCGGATGTGTCATGTGTGTAGAGTAGTCACGCAAATGCACATCATCATAGGCTAGTTGTATTGACAACTTCTTGTTTTCCCTCCCCTCTTCTATTTAGAGCATATATGCTTGGGTAGCTTTTTTTTCTTTTCTATATATGCTCTCTCTCATCTACTATTCATCCATTGCGTTCTAGGATAACAAACACTTCTGTTGGTACTTTTATTTTTGCAGCAGTGTTTGGTTCATTTGGGAATTGGTGTCATTGGGAAAAAAACACATCGAGTAACCAGTCAATCATGAACATTTGCCAAGCAATCGATAAGGCCAGCACCCAAGTGAACCAGCACAGTAGGGCAATGCCCTGGGCTCACACTAGCCGGCCATCTACCATTTGATCTATATGGAGGTGATGAGGCCCATGCCCGAGCTAGGCAGGCATTCTGGTTTGCACCATGCAGCAGGCAGTAGCCGATCTTGCTGTCTGATTTAGCATACGACTAGCGTTGAGCTACGTGTAATCGGTGGAGTTCAGCTAACTCCATTGGTGTTTTTAAGCGAGTTCTGTATGATGTTTTTGGCGTGACGAATGAAGCTATACGTGGGGTGCCCACAGGAGCCACGCTAATAACTGGCACACGAAAATTTTTCAGAAATTAAACATCTTGTCATGTCTAGTTATTCTTGAAGAATATGGTCTTGCCAGTAGTAAATAGCTCGACTTTAAGTAACTTTCAGTGGTGTGCTAGTTTGGCCACAAAAGAATAAGGCTATCTTCACTATGACATCCATATTTCATTAAGGCTACCTTTGTAATGGTAATTAATTATGACAGCAGAAATAATAATGTGACATTGTTTTATGACGCTCTTAGTTTATTACTAGGTTGCTACATTTTGGAACGGAGGTAGTACATAATTCTATCCCTTCACTCTCTACTACCAATAATTACATAGTTCCTCCGTCCCAAAAATATAAGTACCTAGTACCGGATAGAACATTTTCTAGTACTTCGAATCTAGACAACTAGAAAATGTCCCACCCGATGCTAGGTTTTTATATTTTGTGACGGAGGGAGTAAAACCTTTTCATAAGTGACGTGACAAATGTAAGTACTCCCTCTGTCCCATTTTAAACGCAATCATGAGTTTCCGTATCCAACTTTAATCGTCGATGTTATTTGAATTTTTTTTGAAAAAAATTAGAACACATAAGTCATGTATAAAGTACTATATCTTCTAGTAACAAGAAAAATAACAATAAAAGTACTAATCAAAAAAATAACAATAAAACTAATTAAAAAATACTTCAAATAAGACGAACAATCAAAATTAACACGAAAAATCATGATTTCGCTTAAAATTAGATTACGCAGGGTCCTAATGGATTCTGCCAAATGTTCTATAACCATCTGGCAATCACTGAGGGACATTGGTCTATTCTGCTTCCAGTTGTTCCCACCATCAGCTCTGGTAGCAGAAGGTTACTGACAGCTAGATACCGTACACCAACACCAACTTGACAGCGATCAACCCAGTTCTCTGGCACACTGCCCCCGGTCGTTGGATGCTGGCCTCGTCAATGACCTGATTAATATACAGTAGAGCTGGGACGTTCGATATGCTTCTTTTCCAATGCCACCCATTCCCGAATGGAGGAACTCGATCTAGTAACATGTCCTGTTTGGTGCAGTATGTGTGAACATATTCTGGAACAACAAAAATGTCAGTTGTTTCATTTGGCATAGAGAGAGATGGGTAGAGGAGAATGTATCAGGGTTGCATGGTTTTTCCTTCGATGGATATAGTAGATGACATCGAGATCATGAATAGTAGAAAAAAAGAAAGAAAAACAAAGCCATCAGGAAGCATATAAATAGGGCAGGGGAAGACAGAGAAAGTATCAATACACTGACACAAGGTAGGTGCTTGTCGGTAATTAATTTAAGAAAGTTAAAAGGAGGTTCACAACTATCCAAACGCAAAGGAAACTAAACAAGGAGATGGCCGGCCATTGTTTTTCATGCATCAGTAAATATTTTCACTCCAAGTTTATTACTGCTTGTCTATGTTTTACATTTTCCCACCGAAACCAATTTATGTATGTTGGAGGGGGCGCGATGAGCCACTTATCAGTGTAGATGTTAGGGCCTTACCAAGCACAGATGGGTCGGCAACTTTTCAGTGCCGGTTGTAACCAAGGCCTGGCACTGATGTGGTCCCATCTGTGCCTGGTATATACTGTGCATGAACGATCTCGAGAGTTACGGTGGGAAACCCTCATCAATGTTGGTTTTTGTCAAACCAGTGCTGATGAGATTGGGTTCTTCCCTCCATCTATCTAATGATGGATTGTATCGATATTATTCTAGTTAAGAAATAAATCAGAATTAGTCTCCCGTGATCCTTAGTCCCTCTCTCATCTGTAGCAGCTGTCGTCGTCCGACTATCCTCCAGGCAGTATTTACCTCCCCCCAACCCACAATAAACCTAAGCTATAAGAGTGTTTGACTTCTCAAAGGATTTGTTTCGATAATTCGCTTCGTTGATATTTGTATAAATACACAGATCGACAATGAAAATGTTATAGCCACACAAATTAATAATGAAATTATTGTAACCGCACAGAATGACAGTGAAAATGTTGTAACCGCACAGTAAAAATTCCAGTCGACCACGAATGAATGACCCTGAGCCTGATCATCTGTATATATATTAGCATTCATACTATTTTTTGGGTAAAAAGCGGTGGCTTTATCCTAGTGTTAAATTGATGACCCGCTCTATCAGTGTGTATCTTTTGCTGGTAGCTAGGCATGAGGTAGGCTTAGGGTTACTTTTAGTACTGTTTTATTGGACAAACCTTAGCATTGTCAAATTCCTATCAAACAATTACTTATTACTACTACCTACCATGTTTTGATACGCTTGTCTCCCTTTGCTCACTAACATAAATTTACATTGATCAATAAGCTTCCTCTATCTGTCCAGTCAAACCGAAACAATACATGTTACCTCTTTGTAATCTTTTTTTATGGTTTTGTAACATTTACATAACACAAAACATGTCATTGTGTTTTAGTTTGAGAATGAGTGGCATTGGAAAAGAAGCACATTGCGCATTCACCTGCACAAGCACACTAATTATATCACTACAAGAAATGTAATTATTGTCAAGAGTATTTCCCCTTGCAATAGTATAGCCTTGCAGAAGATCCTTATCTGCTACCATCACTCTAGTTCCTTGCTAATAATGTTTATTTGCAAGGGTCATGAACGTACCCTTGTAGAATATCGTCATCCCCAAGGCATAGGCGATGGTCCTTGGGATTGTATGAAATAAAGCATCCCTTTGTAATATAAATTACATAATATAAATTGTACAGTTAGTTAATTGCTAGTATTACGCTAGCCATGCATGGATCTTGTGAGCTTGTTTTTATTTATAAATAGATTAAACATTATCTAAAAATAAAAATATATTTAATTGATTTCTGTAAAAAAAAATCTATAAATAGCTAAATAAAAAACAAAATTAAAGAATTGCAAATGAAATTGTGCCTGTACTGTCAAAAACTTCTTTTACATTTACTAAGTTTTAGTTTGCTAATTAAAGTATAGCTAACCGATAAAAATTGTATGAAACGTGTTAATATAAAATGTCGACCACGCGACCTCATTACCAGTACTATAAAAAAAATATAAATGAACTATTCGGAAGGGCCTGCAAATGATAAAAACAGGGCATGTGCGTGTGACATGCATAACTGTTTGTCTTCCATTAATAGAAAAACATAAATTAATTATCATGATCTTTTAATAACACGAATATTTTAATAGTAGAGATACCGAGTCACATCTAAGGTTATATTTTAGTATAGGTTTTATTTAAATATTACATTAATAAAATGGTGTAACGCCATGATATATTTTTTTAGCCATATCTAACAAGTGTCATGCAAACGAGAGAAGGCTCCCACCGTTGTATCTGCCGTATAAAAATTTATCAGTACATTGGCACCTCTACTCTAGAGGGATATTTTCCCATGCTAGCATGCTTGTCACTACTACCTAACACTCTAGTAGCTACTACTTGTTGTCGCCATCACGCCAACCCTCTAATCAATACATTACCACTGTTGTCGTTGCCGAGGTCTTATATACACTGTCTCCATGGTTGACAGGTTGAGTAGCATTGCCACTGTTCTATCTTCGTCGTCAAGCTCCATGACCGCCACTTAGTCGAAGGTATTATTGTACACGCCTACCACACTTATGTCATTACTGGTGGCTCTACTCCCTTAGCAACGATCGTTATAAAAATTGAAAAAAATAAAAAAATTCTAGATTGATTATCTAGAAATAAAGGATGCAAAATCTATATTTAAAGATGGTATATTTTACTCTTATGGTCATGTAACTTTGAAAATAATTACATAATTTTTGTATAATAGAAAACACGAGATTTCATATATTTTATAAATAATATTACCATGTATAAATTTTTGATGCAATATTTTATCCTGAGTTAGTTTTTTAATGAGGGAATATCTGGAGTTTGTTTTGACCCAGCCACATCCCACTCCCTGAAAAAAAGGAAGTTTTCCCGTACTTAAAAAAAAAAACCTGCCAGCCCTCTAGAAAAACCCCGTCAACTCAAAAAAAAAAGAAAAAGAAGGGCTCTCTAGCTCTCACGAAAAAAACCCCCAAGTCCCAATCCATCTTTTTCCTTCCTGCGATTTTCTGGCATTCCCCCCAAAATCATCGACCCCCATTATCCCATCTCTCCCACTCCCCATGTTTGCCGGTCTAATTGTGATTTCCTCATCTGATTGGAGAAATTTATTTGCCCCTCCGTGAGTTTGTAGCACCCAATTTTCTTCATTTGTTTTCTTCCTCGCATGATCGCTAACAATCCCCTGCCGCGTGCTTGCCTCGACGCAGGTCGGCACCCCCGTCGCACTCCGAGCCTTCAGGTGCGGCACCTCCTGTAGCCCGGTGCCTGACACCTAGGCCCAGCACTCCTACCTCGTCGGAGTGTGCCGCTCTGCCGTGCCCCGATCCTTCCTCCTCAGGTAACATCTTGATTAATGTGTGTCTACCAGCTGCTCGATGGAATTCCCCTGTGAGAATTTTGTCATGTCCTGTGATTTTCATCTTTTGTGATTGTATCCCAGGAGCATCTCAACTAATGATTTTGAAAGAATGTTCATCATCCTTTTGGTTTCTTCTACTCTCCTTGCTCCAGGATGTTGGATATTGGATTAATTTGTTTATGGTTTAAGTAATACACACTAAAATTTGCTCTCTAACTTGCACATGTATGACTCAAGTTCCTGACGATGGTTGTGTTTCTAATTCTTTAGTTGCTCGCTACTAGATATTTTTATTGCCCAAAAATTACGAGTATCTCTAGTAGATATATATTCTATCATCAGTTCTTCGGATTAGAATATACAGGTAGGAATTATTAACATAGTTTAATTTATGATTGGTACTGATCTCAGGATTGCTTTAAGTGGTTAGAAAATTCAGGTCTCCTGAAAGTACGGTGGAATTTGAATGTTAATAATTGTGCAATCTCAGGATTGCTTTAAGTGGTTAGAAAATTCAGGTCTCCTGAAAGTACGATGGAATTTGAGTGTTAATAATTGTGCAATCTGATAGCAAACCATTGGCATGTGTGCAAAAATTCAGTAAATTAAACAAGCTAAGACACATGTTGTTTATTCTTTTGGTGTATTGAAGTGTAGACAGAGTAAACAAGTTATAGAGAAATATGTACTACTTAATATGTTCAAGTTATCACTAATAATGATTTATCTGGGAGCAATTATTTTTTGTATTTAAAAGAAGATTTCCTATTAGTCTACATCTAATATTTCCTCTTCTTATTTTGATAAACTTCCTTTACATAATCTTTCAAAATATGCATCCTTACCATATAATTTCAAGTGTAGGGCTAGCCATTATTTGCATGTCAGAATAGCTTGTTTAGTGTGAGATTAATGGCTGAGGACCGTAGTTGGATGTATAAAAGGGTAGTGAATGGATACATTTCAGATGAGTATTTGAAAGGAGTTAAGAGGTTTATGTCACACGCTGTATCAAAGTTACAAGGTCAGGCAGAGAAAAGGGTTAGATGCCCTTGTACGAAGTGCAAGAATGGACAGCTGCATGACAAAAGAATAGTTCAAATGCACCTTTGCAATAAAGGATTTACTGAAAATTACCATGTGTGGAGTAGACATGGTGAAAGTGGAGCTGATACCAGTGAGACACCAGAAGGCAGTATTGACAATGAGATGAATGAAGGAGGTAATGCCTATGGAGAGTCAGATCATATAGATGAGATGGTGTTGGATGCCGTAGGGCCTAATTTTTGTCAAAATATTGAAGAGCCTCCAAATGTTGAAGCAGCTTCATTTTTTGATATGTTAGATGCAGCAGACAAGCCATTGTGGGAGAAGTGTGGAAAACACTCTCAATTATCTGCAGTCTCTCGGTTGTTGACAATAAAATCAGACCATAATATGTCTGTAGCTTGCTTTGATGAGCTGGTCAAGGTTATGAAAGAAATGTTGCCTCCAGATGCAAATTTGCCATGTAGTTTTTACAAATGCAAGAAAGTCGTCGAAGCTTTAGGTATGCCTGTCCAAAAGATTGATGTTTGTAAGAATGATTGCATGTTATACTATAAGGAGCATGCTAACAAAAGGAAATGTATAACATGTAATGGGCCTCGTTATATTGAAGGGTTAGAACTCCCTGAGAATAAGAAGGGCACTCCACAGAAGGTGCTTCGCTACCTCCCAATCATTCCACGCCTACAGAGGCTCTACATGTCACGAGGCACTGCAACACACATGACATACCACAAGGATGGGCTTGAATCAGAGAGGTGCAACAATGAAAGCAGAAAGAAAAAGTTAACTCACCCAGCAGAGAGTGAAGCATGGAAACATATTGATTCAAAGTACCCTAATTTTGCAAAGGAGCCTCGAAATGTGCGTTTAGGGTTGTCAACTGATGGATTCACGCCATTTAATCAAACTGCAACCCCTTACTCCTGTTGGCCTGTTTTTGTTGTCCCATATAACTTGCCCCCAGCATTATGCATGAAGGCACATAATATTTTCCTTACCATGGTTATACCAGGGCCTACGCACCCTGGAAAGAACATAGATGTATTCTTCCATCCACTAATTGATGAACTTTTGCAACTTTGGACAGAAGGAGTTGTGACATATGATTGCTCAAAAAACCAGAACTTTGTCATGCGAGCTGCCCTTATGGGGACAGTAAGTGACTTTCCTGCATATGGGATGTTGTGCGGCTGGAGCACACACGGGAAATTAGCTTGTCCAATTTGCATGGAAGACACAAAGTCATTTTGGCTAAAAGTTGGAGGCAAGCCATGTTGGTTTGATTGTCATAGGCGTTTCCTACCAAAGGGACACCCTTTTAGACGTGCAAAAGACAAGTTCATCCAGAATAAGGAGGAGAAAGATGGCCCACCTATTCATCGATCATCTTCAGAAGTGTATGATTGTGTTAAATCTCTCCCTCAAATTACATTTGGTACCAAGGCAGGAAATCAAGAGATTGAGGGTTTTGGAAAGGAGCATAATTGGGTAAAAAGATCTATCTTTTGAGAGTTGCCTTACTGGCGTGAGTTGTTAGTACGGCACAACCTTGATGTGATGCACATTGAAAAGAATGTGTTTGACAATATATGGAATACTTTGATGGATATCCCAAAGAGGACTAAAGATAATGTCAAGGCTCGATTTGATTTAGCCAATATATGCAATCACAAAGAACTTCATATGCAACAAAAATCTATAGGTCGATGGGTGAAACCAAAAGCTTGTTATAGTCTAGATAAGGCACAGAAGAAATTGGTACTGCAATGGGTTAAGAATCTTAAATTCCCTGATGGTTATGCATCAAATTTAGCACGGGGTGTTGATATTAATCGAGGCAAGATCATAGGAATGAAGAGTCATGATTGCCATGTCTTCATGGAAAGGTTGCTACCTGTGGCATTTCGTGATTTCCTCCCCAAGCACATCTGGAAGTGTTTAGCAGAACTGAGCTACTTCTTTAGGCAACTATGTGCAAAAGAGGTGGATATAGAACAAATGAAGCACCTACAAAAGGAAGTGCCAGTCATTGTGTGTAAACTTGAACAAATTTTTCCTCCTGGATTTTTTGATTGTATGGAACACTTGGTGGTGCATCTAGCTTATGAAGCTTTAATTGGAGGGCCTGTAGCTTACCGCTGGATGTATGTATTTGAAAGGTATGTTTCTTTGGTTAAGTACTAAAGTGTGAATTTGTATATTAATTTCATAATTATGTTTTCTGCTCAATTCATAGGGAGTTACATGAGGCTCGCAAGAGGGTTCGAAACAAAGCACGTGTCGAAGGTTCAATTGTAGAGGGGTATAGGGTACAGGAGGTCTCTAATTTTATTTCTATGTACTTTGCTGATCATGTGCGAACAAAGCACACTCGCGTCCCTAGACATGATGATGGTGGTTTCAGAGCACCTACTGACTGGCTGTCTATATTCTCTATCCCATATCGCACTCTTGGAAAGAGCACATCACGTAACTTATCAAGAGAAGAATGGCAGGCTGCTAGGGTATATGCATTACTCAATTGTGCAGAAGTTGACAAATATGTCTTGTAAGTATATATTATTCTGTTTTCCTATTTTATTACTTGGGCTCTATTTTTGTGAATATGACATATTACATTTATGTTATTGCAATAAATGTCAGGAAATTTGATAGGGAGATGAAACAACAAAACAGGAACATCACTACAACTCAATTACAAGAGATGCATGAGAAAGATTTTCCAACCTGGCTTCGTGAGTTGGTAAGAATACATGATGTAATATCTGATGGATTATTATTTATTTTAATGCATGATTCATGAAAATTGATTCTACAGGCTGGAAAAGATGAAACAGTTGAAGAACAAGTAAGGGCTCTTTCCATTGGGCCCCGATACATGGTTAAGTGTTATAAGGGATGTGATGTTCAGGGGTTTCGTTTTCGTACACAACCATATGAACAAAAGAAATTAACGAGGACAACGACAAATAGTGGAGTTTGTGTGTCAGCAAATTGGTTTGATAACCAAGGGCCTGACTACTATGGCACTATCCAGGAGATAATAGAGTTGGAATATGTCAGTGATAGTGATCTAAAGGTGGCTCTATTTAAGTGTGACTGGTTTGATCCTAAGAAAGGAGTGAAGTATGACAAAGCACTAGGCCTAGTTGAAGTTAACCATAGATCAAGATTGGAACAATATGAACCTTTTGTGCTTGCATACCAAGTGGACCAAGTATATTATACACCATATCCATCGCCACCACGTGAAAGAAAAGATTGGTGGGTTGCATTCAAGACAAATCCAATTGGTACTTTACCCGTTCTTGCAGTGGATGATGAAGTTGATGATTCGCTTCCTCCTGTAGTTTCTGAATAATATCAAGAGGGAGAGCAGCTTGGAGCTGACATTTCACAGAAGCTTGGTGATGAAAGCTTGCTTCATGAATCAAATATTGTTGAGCAAGTTGATCCAGAAGATATGGATTTTTTAAATAGACCAAATAGCCATGAGAACATAGAGAGTTATGTTGCCATGGACAGTGATTGCAGTAGTGAAGATGAAGGGCCAATAGAATCAGATAATGACTCAGACAATGATAGTGATTCTAGTGACTAAACAATTGATATATATATATATATATATATATATATATATATATATATATGTGTGTGTGTGTGTGTGTGTGTGATATTATTATTTCATTTTCTCATGAGCAGTGGCATTATGTCACGTCCCAAAACGACTCTAAAATACATCCTCCAAATTATGCCTAGAATAATTAAAATCCGTGTGAAAGCTCCAACAATTAAAATGTGCAAAGTTAAAAGTCAAATAAGGCTTGGAGGATTTTTGTATATTTCCTAAAAGCCTAAAATGCGTAAATAAATTTAGTGGAATTTTCAGAGCACAAATAATAATTATTAAGAAATAAACAAAGTTAAAATGATTTTATAAAAAGAAAAGCTCTAAAAAGTCCCCTTTCCCTCCCTCTCCCTCTTGGGCCGGCTCGGCCCATCTCCCTCCCCCTCCCTCTCCTCTCCCCGCGGCCCATCCGGCCTCTCCCCGCGCTCGCGCCGCTGACGGGCGGGTCCGCCCGCCACCCTCGCTGACGGGTGGGGCCCACCCGTCATCCCCTTCCTCCCGCCGCTCCCGCCGCCTCGCCCGCGCCCTAGCGCCGCCGCCGCCGTGAATCCCGCCGCCTCCCGCCGTCTCCGCGTGCAATAAAGAGGGGGAAATCACTCCCCGTGATCCCCTCTCCCTTTTCCCCCATTTTTCCCTCTCTCTCTCGCGTTCAAACGGGCGGATTTGCCCCCGCAAATATCGCCGACGCCATTGATGGCGGCCGGACCTCCCGCGCCTATTCCTTCCCCGCCGGCCGCTCTCTCCCCCTTCCAACCCTATTTAAACCCTCCCCGCACCTCCTCCGTCCGTTTCCGCCTCTCGCCGCCCTTCCTCCTCGCCGGAATTGAGCTCGCGCCGTCGCTCTCTCTCTCCGCCGTCACCGTCGAGCTCCGGTCCGCCGCCGTCGTCGCCCCGGACCACCTCCCACCTCGGCGCCGCCTCCTTCGGCTTCGCCGCATCCTCGCCGACCTCGTCCACCCCTCCGTTTCGCTCGCCGACTGCCGGAACGCTGTCGACCCCGTCGACCCGAGCCGCGTCGCCGCCTTCCTCCGCTCCGGCTGCCTTTTTCGTCGTCGCCGTCGACCTAGGGTGAGCCATGGACCGCCGCTTCTTTTCCCCCTTCCCTTCCCCTCTCTCGGCCGCCGCTCCGCCGTGCCTATGGCCGCCGCCGGCGACCATAGGGGCGCGGGCGCCGCCTCCCGCCGGCTGCGCCGGCTTGGCCGCCCTCGGGCGCACCGAGTGGCTGCCGCGTGGGGCCCGGCCGTCAGCCGCCCGCGCCCTCGGGTGCGGCTGACGCGTGGGACCCACGGCGCTGGTCGGTGTGAGCCCGGGTGCACCCGGTCCACCGTGGACCGTGAGGCTGCCGCGTGGGCCCCACTCCCGCTGACCCGGTCCGCGCGCCCCCTCCCCTCGGCTGACGCAATAAGCCCTTTTAAAATTAAAATTTAAATGAAGAAATTCGCAAATATTCATTTAAAGAGCATATAAACTTCAAATGACCATAACTTGGCCATTTGAACTCGGAATTGGACCGTTCAAGTCTCTAATTTTTTCTTAAGAAGTCAAGAACCCATTTTTGTGCTTTGTTCCAGCTTGTTATATGGAGTTTATTAGAGTAAAAGCCTTTTCTTTTCCGTTGGTCGTGTAGACGCCGCAGCTTCGGAAGATCCGCTCTTCGTGGAAGTTGAAGCCGACGTTTGGGAAAGCGAGCAAGGCAAGTCACATCATCCTTGAACATATTGAATCCCAGTTTATAAAATTATGTTGATTTAAATTATTGCATTATCGCTTTATTTAAATTCCCGCGTTATCACTGTTTTATCAAGCCATGCCTATTTTCCTTTGTTATGACCTTATTATTGTTATTGTTATTATTTCCTTGTTCCCCCTAGAATAAACAAAACCCCAACTAGTGGACACTCTACTCATGGTACCACTAGTATGATTTTAGGTAGATGCTTCGCTGGTTAATTAGGCAACATTAGGTGGTTTTACAACTCTAGACTTTGGGAATATTCTCATCACCTGGACACTTTGGAATGGATGGATTATTGTGGAATTGGATTCACACCTCCCCCTCTATTCAAAATCCTCAAAATGGTTTTAGGCTGGGCTCGGGGTGCATGGTTTTGATAGTAGCACCTCGGCCATATAAGGACCGGTCTTCGGGCCTCCGTTGCAGAGCACTACCGTACTTCCACATGTCTAGTGGGTAAGGCTTAGTTTGTGGCTCAGTCTGGTTATAAACAAAAGTACACGGATGGAGATGGACGAAGTCGGGGGTCGATGGACATCTCTAGGACAAATGAAGGCTACACGAGCTGCGGCCCGGTAGTCGAGATGTCATGGCACAGGGCCGGTGTCCTGCTGCTAGGGGCTCAGTCCTGCCTACCTGTCCCGGGGGTTCCGGCCGTAGGTGGGGTTGGGTCGGTACTCTTGTCTATGGCTAGGATGGGTTGGAAACTATGTCACGTCTTCTGTCCGTATACCGTGGTGGTATGTGGCACGTGGTTACACGTGAGGAGGATGTGTCTTGTGGGTAAAGATGTACACCTCTGATCAGAGTATAATCTATTCGAATAGCCGCGCCCTCGGTTATGGGCAAGCCGAGCAATGTACCCAAGTTAGTGTTTTAATTCTTAAAACCTGCTTAACAACTAAAATGTGGAATGGTTGGCCTGGGTTGGCTTGGGACGAGCTGGGACCCAGGGTCGGGTTGCCAGTTCGGTCTGAATCATCGTAGGCCTTGGGTTAAGGCAGGTTCGTGTGGGTTCACGGCCTTGATTAATAATATTGTATAGCTCTGGAATCGTGTTTACAAAATAGCTTTGAGCAACTAAGTGTCTTTTAATGCTGTTTACTGCAAACCCTAACCCTTTATATTATAACCCCCTTGTACTCCCTTACATTTATCCTGCACTTGTGGGTGTGTCTTGTTGAGTACGGTGGTTGTACTCTGTCTTGCTCAATTTTTTCCCAAACCCAGAAGAGGAGCCTGCCGTCAAGCGCCTGTGGTCGTCGCCCTAGTCTTCCGCTGTTTCCCGTTTGTCTTTGTGTGTGCTGGGCCTTCGCCGCCCATGTAATAAATTAACTATTTATGCTTCCGCTTGATAAACTCTGAAATGTATCAACTTTTGGTGTACCTTGCCTCCTGGGACAAGAAATAATACACGCACGTAAGGAACGCCCGTTGGGTTAATTCCGGTCGTGACACATTATTACAAATTTACTATGTTATCTATTCTTTAATGACTACATTTGCTTGCAAAATAACCCTTGTTTTTACTAGTTAAGTACTATGTCAAGACGCCATCGACATTATCCGGATCCTGAAGTTGAAGACCATTTTGAGGATTCAACACAAGATGAACCTTCAGATTCTTTGGTTACTTCAACAAAAGAAAGTAAGGGTGGTCGTGGTCCAAATGTTTTGATGGCACCAGTTCCAGAGAAAGATAGGGCAGTGATAACTCCACTCAATAAAGAGTAAGTTGACACTCTAAATTTCTGCTTATATTAAAACACACACTGTCTATCACACACACAAACACACACTCCATATAATATGTATATCATTGTTGTTAATAATTGAAAATCTTGTTGTAAACTCCATGTTAAATTTTAAGAAATACAGATGCATAGTTCCTATAAATCCAATATTATGATGGCTGAACATATTTTTTTGTCACTTTCATTGTTTTACACTAATATTACCTAACTTGGTAAATGGTATGTTGTTTCTAGTGCTTGGATTACGAATCCTATGAAGAAGAATGTTTCATCTACCATCACATGTCTTATAAAAGCTCACTACCCTGGCACATATAGACCTTTGGATAAACATGGCAAACAGGTGCCTGAGGATGAAGCAGTTGTCATTGCTCATTATCACAACTTTCCTGCTCATACAAGGATAACTATTCTGAAGGAATTTTTGGTGAGTTACAGTGTTAGCATTCACATAGAATATTTAGGTTCTTTTAATGGATTGACGTCCTACCTTATCCTTTTACAGCTGCGTTTTAAGTTTGCTGATGGTAGAGAAGTGGATTGTGCTAGATTATTTTATCGCAAAGCTGTTGAACGTTTTAGCCAAGCTTTGTCACATGAGAAATCTGAAGCAAAACGTTCTTTGGAAAAGCATATCGAAAATATGCGTGCGACTGAGTTACAACAGGATGGAGATGCCCCTTCTCATGATGATTTTGATGTTGATGATCCTCAACTTTGGAAGGCATTCCCTCCTTATTGGATTGAGCAAAAGTGGTGGGATATGTTGTGTGACTTGTGGTCTGATGAAAATGTAAAGAAAGTGTCAGCTCAAAACAGCAAAAATCGGATGGAAGGAGGTGGTGTTCATCATACTTGTGGTTCACGAAGTGTTGCTATGCATAAACAAGCCATGGTACCAAAGTTAAATGATTTTCCTATTATGATTTATACTACTTTGACTTCTCACTATGATATGTACTTTTGGATAGATAATTGAGAATGCAGGGACGGATGTTGATGATATTGATGTCTTTGAACGCACACATCGACATGCAAAGGGCAAGGGACAGTATGCCAACAAGAAAGCTGAACAGTTAGCGGTATGTGTTCTGCTTATTCTAGTTTCTAGTTTCAAGTTTGGCAATCAAAAAAAGTGAAATCATCTAAAACCATGCAATGGTGCCACTACATATCTTAATTAGGTGGTGTATAATGATCGTGTCAAGGAAGGAGAAAACAATCAAGTCGACAAACAACATGTTTGGGTGCAGCTCACTAAAGGTAGAAAACGTGGAAGGTATTATGGTCTTCCAGGAATTATAGATAGAAACCATGTTGGTAATTCAGCAAGTGCACCATCTGGTAGCATGGAGACACAGCCACTATATACACAGCAGCAAGTGCAAGACATTGTTCAGCAGGCAGTCACTAATGCTGTGAACAATGCTCATCAATAACTAGCATCAAGGATAGAAAGGCTAGAGCAGACAGTGGATAAGGATAAGGCAGAAACTCATTCCCATGTAAGTATAAATTAAAGCTATTTTTGTTACCTAGAAAGAACATACTAACTGGTATTATTTTTCAAATCACAGG